CTTTCTCCCCCCCCCCCCCCAATCATGTAACAAGGTGTTTCTCTTTTTCTTTGCAGACAATGGACTTAAAACAGAGGAGGAGGAGGAGGAGGAGGAGGAGGAAGCGAACAACTTTGTGGAGGACCTTCGCCGCAAATTGATACCGTGAGTATTGCTGTGGGCACCCTCTCTGCCATCTGAGACACTCACCCTTGAGCTTAGGTAGACCCACGGTGCCTTTGGCGTCAGTGGGGGAGGTATCCAGACTTTAATGCTCCCTCTCGTCTTTTTTCCCCCTTCCTTTCTTTCTCATCCCCTGTATCTCACAGGCCTGCGGAGGTTCGCGGCTGCTCTTTTGGGTTTCGTCGCCTCCGGAAGAGGTGGAAGCAGAGAAGTAAGAAGAGATGCTGCATCTCTTGAGAGCCACCGAGCGGGGCCAGAGGGACACCCACAGAACATCAAGATCGTCCCTCTGCAGCGAAAGATCGGCCCCCAACCCACCTTCACCAAGCAACATCATCGCAGGGATTCCACTCTTTCTGCCTTATGGTCTATTCAAGAAGCCAACGCACAGCCAAACAGCCTTTTTATATTTTGTTAAACAGATAGAGATTAATTTGAAACACATTTAGATAAGCCAATCTTTACACAAATAATCATTTCCAAATTACCCCAGCCGTTACTAACAACCATTTCCTCTATAAAAAAACCAAAAAAATAAAATAGCTTACTACATTTTCAAACAGAGTTCTATCTTACTGTTAATTTGAAAAATAAGATCCTTTTGTAGTTTTCCTCTAGCGTTCATTCCTCTGGGCAGGAATTCTCTCTTGCTGCGTTCGGGCAGACGTCCGGGCTGTCTCTGCATCCATCTTCTTTTCTTTCTCTCTTCTCCCATCTTTCTTAAATTAACAAGTTATGTCCTTGTCCGACTGAGTTTAGATAAGATAAAGGTCATTTTGACTTTTTTTCTTTAGCTGGAGAAGAACTGACCTTGTACATTTTTTCTCTCTAATGAGCACCTGGACACAAGCAGATTTCTAGCTTTTTCGTTGCAGCTCTGAAATAAATCCTATGAAATACATCTCTATTCTATTTTCATAATCAATTTCATGACACATACAACACAAAATCTCAATGCATTTAATTAGCTTCTGAGCCATAAATTGATCTAAAGATTCATTTTACTGTAATTACCCAGAATTCTACATTTCTCTGTGTTTCAATGTACAGTATTGGACCTCTCTTGAAACCCTTGACCTTTATTATTGGAAAATAAGCTCCCACACAACATTTTTCCATATCAAAGTATATTAAGTTGCAAGGACCTTTCAGTCCCAGGCAGCAGGAAACATGAAAACCGCAATAAGATAGCAATTTGTCTCCCGGACATAAATAAGGTAACTCTTTCTCTCACAAAGATATGTGTAAATATCAAATGGGGACATATGTCCACATTTGAATCTTAGGGAGGAAGCCGACCCTTCACGCTTCAACACCTCTAAGAGAAATTGGGGGTTCTGGAGGCTATACACCGAAGCCTAGGAACTGCAACATAAACGTATCAAAGAGATAAAGAGGCACGCAGTGGTTCCCCAACCTTGGGCCTCCAGGAGGCCCAAGGTTGGGGAACCACTGATCTAGGGAACATCCTCTACTCAGAGATGCAGGGATTTTTAAGGTATAACATGACCCATAGGTCAAGGAACATGGGGGCACCCTGTATGGGTATTTGGGCAGAGCCGATAAGCTATGCCTACAGAACATCTTGACCCAATGGGAAAGGAGATCCAAGTTTGGGCTCCAAATAACCAATAAGAACATTTTGCTTTATGACTCTTTGTGTGTGAAGCTTTATAAAATATCTATGTACCCTCTACTGGAGGTCTTCTTCTGCTTTTAAGGTAGAAGGCCCTGCTGTACTTCCTTAAAAATAAAAATACTGGCTTTGTATCAGCTGTCTTGCCTCTTAATCTGCGTTCTTGCCGGAGTCCCGAATCAAAACCGGGGCAAACACTCCCACAGTCCCCCCCCTCCCCACTCCTTTTCCTTCCCATCCTCCTCCAGGGTGCCCTTCCCTCCCAGCCGCTATTCCTTCCTGCTCCCCTCCAGGGTCCCATCCCCACCCCACCCGGATGAATTTGCTTGACGATGCCTTTTTTGCGATTGCTATCCACCCGGATGAAATTGCTTGACGATGCCTTTTTTGTGATTGCTATACGATGTTTCCTATGGGATTTTTTCATTTAACGATGCTTAGGTCCCTGCTTCGCGAACCGATTGTTCGCAAAACGACGATTTAAAACAGCTGCTCTCCTGAGCCAACTACACCAGAGCACAGGTTGCTGTCCTCTGAAGATGCCGGCCACAGAGACCGGCGAAACGTCAGGAAATACAACCTCCAGAACACGGCCAAAGAGCCCGAAAAACCCACAACAACCATTAGATCCCGGCTGTGAAAGCCTTCACGAATATATTGAAGCTTTCCATTAAACTTTGTCCTTATTTTAAGGGCTCTTCCGGCGAACTCTCTCCTTCTGTTTCTGTCCCCTGGATGCTAAAGGCGCTTGAAGCAAAAAAAAATAAAACAGCTTTGATGACCCATCGCTGGGAAACTGCATCTCCCAAGATGCAACAGGGCTGGGTGTGGCCTTCCTCCCCGCAGCATCAGCACCAGCTGGGTAGCATCCTCCAGAGAGAGACAGAGAGAGAGAGAGAGAGAGAATGCAGGTGCCCAGCAGAAGAACGGCTATTCCTGGAATATCTCCGGCCTGCCCAGAAAATCTGCCCTGCAGCCATCCGAAGCGATTTCTCCCCAGCTCCGGTGAGCCTGCAAGCGGCTTCTAACTACTTTTGTGGGGCAGATCAGGGGAAGGAAAGAGGGGAGGGAGGCGGAGAACACAGGGGGGGCTTTCTGCTGAGCGATGGTGGAGAGATCTCAGGGTCCCAGGGTCCCCCAAAAGAGAGAAAAAAAGTTGGGGGTCTCCCTTGCTCATCTTTTGAGGAAAGGAGCAAGCTGAGTCAAACTTTTGTGGGAGATGGAATGGGGGGGGGACCCACCGCCGGATGGTTTTGGGGGAAGAGCCCCTTATGGCTTTAATGGGTTCCCGCATTTATAAAACCCTCTGGCTCTTCTTTTCTCCAGATCATCTGGAGTTTCAAGGCCTTGGCAGGATCTGCAGAGACAGGAAGGGCCGGCTTCTGGACCATCGCCTCCCGGACCGCTCTCGAGGTTCCCCGCGAGACGCCCCCCCAAAACCTGCAAACTTTTTTTTTTCCAAGCAAGGTTTGAAGTTCGGGGTGTGCGCCGCCTCGTCCTCCAGACGCGGGTGGCGCCTCCCGACCCAGCATCCTTCCAGTCGTCCGACTCAAGGGTCGGTTCCTGCACAGTCAGGGTGATTGGCTGCCGACGAGAGAGACCCGTCGGAGAAGGTGGATCTGATTTACTGGACGTCTCTTCCTCCTTCCTTTCCCTCTGCCCCTCTGCCAGAGGCAGCAGCTGGGCATGCCTGTGGGCACCGGCTGTGGTACCGGGAAGGGCCGCCCTTACTTCTCTGGAATCGGTTTGATTTTTCTTTTCTCTCTGCCGGAAAGGAAAGGATCGGCTGGATTTCCTCCCTCCTGCCATTCCCTGGCATCACCACCTCCTTTCTTGTAGGAGCTTCTCCCTTGATCCATGGCTCCCCCAGAAGCACCAGTGCGGACCCCTTGCTTATAACTCCCTGGTCCCAGAAGAAGAATGAGGCTGATCTGGAGGAGCGGAGAACCCCTTTCCTGCATCGTCTATCGCCTCTCTCCCCCATCGTCTATCGCCCCTCCGAAGCTCGTGGGCCTGCTTTCAAGCAGCTAGCACCATCGTCCAAAGGGTCAAGGCGAGCCGTTTCCACCGACGGGCTCGGCTTTCCCTCCGATTTCTGAAAGGGCCGGCCGTCTCTGGCTTTTTATTTTTCCTTGCGGGAGACGTATTTCGCACTCGTACCTGTGAGAGCTCGAACGTGACCTTCCACGAGATGGATTTCACATGGAAGCCATGGGGAGCCGTTTGGTTTTTCGGCTGAGGATGGGGGTCTCTGCCTCCTCCGGCTGGCGCCTTCCACGAGATTCCTTCTGATCATTTCCTACGATCCTCGCTTTTTAACATTTTTGATGCATGAGGCCATAACGGGGCGCTTTCTCAGCTTTTGCTCCCGCTGGCTTGGCCTCGTGGTGGAGCGAAGCGCAGAAATCCAGGGACTGGACTTGATGATTTAGGAGACCCCTTCTAGCTCTGCAGTTCTTAAGAGGATGATGGGGATTCTCTAACCTGGGAAAACAGCTTTTGAGGGAGATAAGCCAAAATATTTGACCTTTTCTCCCCTTCCAGAGTCATACACTATTCCTTCTCAGGTGGCTGAATTTTAAAATATCAGAAACGCTGGCGCCAAACCCTCCTTGCTACTTTCTCACCTCCAATTCCTTCCTTCCGATTCTAAGCTTCCGCTTTCCGTGAAAGGGAGGGCGCTCTGCGCGCGTTCAGAGGCACCCTTTGCTCGGCCGCCTGGGACACTGCCCCTGCTCGAGCAACGCCACGGCGTGGTCTCAAACCGAACACCCACGCTCCTATCCTCCGCGCACAGATGCAGCGTGGGTTTTGTGGGTTAAAACGAAGACAAAGATGAACACCAGCCAACGCAAGGCACAACCACCCAATAAACACTGAAACATTTGCTATATATATTTTGAAAGGAGCGACATGTATTTCCATATTTGCTCGACTTCTCTCCTTTTTGCCCAAAAGGGGATCCAGCTGAGCTTTGTAAAACGGCTTTATCCTTTGAGCGGCGTCGCTGTCGAAGCCTGAATCCTCCGGACTTGAACCTGCGTTTCTCCAGCCCTCGGCTGGCTCCCGGGCTCCCTGGCCGGTCCTTCGTTCTCCGGGGCCCCCGTCATGCCCTCTCGCAGCGACTCTAGTTACTCCCTGACCGGCTACACGTCTCGCAGCTTCACGCACCTCCGCGTCCGGCGGGCCTGGCTTCAAGTCCTCCTCCTCCTCGGCTTCATCCAGATGGTCCTGGGCATCTTGATCGTCACGCTCAGCCTCTTGGTGACCACCAACATCTCTTCGCAAAACTCCATCCGCAGCTCCTGCCCCATCTGGGCCGGTTTCCCGGTGAGTCTACTCATGGGTAGCATTTTCTTGATTGAAGAATTCAAAGCAAGGCATTGAAATGGGACTACAGTGCCCATAATCCCCCAGGCAAAGGAGGCCAATGGGATTCTGGGGAATTCTGAGCCACAGCCGTTGGGGTGCAGGGTGTTGGAGTGAAAGGATCCTGCATTTATGGGTTGGTTGGTTTTATTTTATTTAAAATATTTCCATCCTGCCGTTCTCCTTAAAATATATAGACCCGAGGCACCTTACATCATGAAAAAGTGCATATTCCAAACGTTCTCCTTAAAAATAGACCCGAGGAGCCTTACATCATGAAAAAGTGCATATTCCAAAACTAAAACCAGTATATATACAAATATTAAAAAGAAATTAAACGGGTATTATATGAAAAAAAAAAGGTTTTTGACCTTCCTGAGTCATATGAAAAAAAAAGGTTTTTGACCTTCCTGAGTCACAGAAACATCTGGCTGACTCTCAGACTGACTTTCTAGGTATCTCTGCACCAATATTAAAGGCAGACATTTTACCACCGAGAGATCTTTATGTTTAGATTTATTAGTTGGCTTGATGTTTTTTCCTCCAGTGAGATGATGATGGGGTTCATGGCTCTCTTCCGCCTCCATCTTGTTACCACCATCACCCTCTGAGGTAGGCCAGGCAGAAAGACGGTAACTGGTTCAGTTATCACCTGGTTAGTTCCATGCCTCAGTGAGGACTAGAACCTTGATCTCTTAACTTCCAGTTGAATACTCAAACAAGCACACCTAAAGGGCAGAGCAAAGAACAACGGCCCATGGAGAATAGGGTTAATAGCCATGCTTCCTTTATGGATCCTCCATGTACAGGGGCAGTGTGCCTCTGAATACCGAGTCAGGAGGATAAAAACAACAAGCTTCATTTCTACATTTTTAGGCTTTGGAGAGAAAGCTGGCTGGCAAACAGGATGCGGGGTGAGGCTCGCCTTTCGTCTAATCGAGAGATGTTAATTTTGTTCTCAGTTCCTACCTTCAGCTAACCTAAGATGGCTGGATAGGTCCGTGGTCTCTGGCTGTGGAGGCAAAGGTCAGGAGTTCGAATCCCCCCACTGGGCCTCTTGGGAGAAGAGCCAGCCTGGGTAGCCTTGGGCAAGCTGCACGGTTCCAGGGCTCCCCCTAGAGGAAGGGAAGGGTAAAGCGCGTCTGTGTATTCTCTCCCTGGGAAACCATGGAAAGTGTTGCCATCAGTCAGAATTGACTTGGTGCCACACAGTTATTCTTATACAGTGGTGCCTCGCAAGATGATTGCCTCACGGGACGATTAATCCGCAAGACGATTTGTTTTTGCGATCGCCGTTGCGCTTTGCAAGACAATGGTTTCCTATGGACGATTTTCAGCAAGGTTTTTTCCCATTGGAACGCATGAAATAGATTTCCAATGGGGAACCGCGTTTCACAAGACACAATAGATTTCCAATGGGGAACTGGTTTCACAAGACGATGTTTTCTATGAAAATTTTTTGCAAGACGATGTTTTTTCCCATTGGAACGCATTAAACACATTGCAATGCATTCCAGTGGGGAGCCGCATTGCGCAAGACGATGTTTTCGCAAGACAGCGTTTTTCGCGGAACGAATTCACATCGTCTTGTGCGGCAGCGTTTTTCGCGGAACGAATTCACATCGTCTTGCGAGGCACCACTGTATTGTAGAGACGTCATGATGCAATCTGTATTTAAATGTGAGAAGCGGAGGCCGGGTGGCCTGTGCCATAGACCTGCGCATGACAAGGGGCCTTACTGCCCATGATCAAATGCCTTTGCCACTCCCCGCCCCCCCCGGTCCCTTAACCCCTGGAGAGTCCCATTTCTAGAAAGACTGAAGGCTCGCAAACGTGAGCGGCTCCCTCGAAGGCCAGCAGCGTTTGTTATCTCGAGAGGGTTTCTATCTGCTGATTTCGAAATCGCCTCGGATGGAAGAACGCCGCGATTAATAATTCAGGTAGAAATGAACTTCATTAAGGAAAAGAGGAGGAAAGAAGAGAAACCCACAGCCTAGGCAGAAATGCGCCTTCCTCTGGCCACGAGTCCTTTCAGCTGCCACGGAAGAGAGATCGGGCGCAGGAGGCCTTCTTTCCGAAAACTGGCCATGGGGAAGACCATTTCACTGTACTCCCGAACTCGGGTCTTTGCTGCAGTTAGCCATTTCCCCCCCCATCAGATGAGAATTCATTGGTTCATTTATTTATTCTAATTATTTATACCCCGCCTTTTGCATGACAAAGTGCCTCAAGGCGGCTTAATTTAATTTAATTTTTTATAAAGAAAAGAACCAACACCAAAATCCAGTTAAAAAAGAGAATTAATGGCAATGAAGCATATTAGATACTGAAACACTGTCGGATAAAATCATTTTAAAAACGCATTTGAAAAAAAGATTAAAAGTCCCACTTCTCCCCGTTGACAACCGTTCCTCGGCAGGCCAAAGAGAAAACTCTTCTCCTACAGGGGCAAAGTTAATGACTGAGGAGGGTCAGCGTGGCATCCTGTGGCAGAGAGTTCCACAGGCTGGGAACTGGTATTGAAATAAAAAGCCTTCCTTTGGTCTCCTGGCCAAGTTTGCCTGCGAGGGTGGTGAGACGGTGAGGAAACCAGTGTGGAAATGACACTATTTAAGATTTTTGATTGCTTGTTTTGTTAATCACCTGATAAATGTCTGTTCTTAATCATTATTAATTTTTCACGCCTGGAAATATCCCAAGGTGACTTTTCCTTGCTGTAAAATACAGCGCAGGGCCCGTCCGACGTGACGGAGACGAAATTTAAAAATAAATAAATTTATGGGTGGAATTTAAGAGGGGGGGAGACCTTGTTTTTCTGCAAGGGTGTAGTGTGGGACTTGGTATGGTGGGTCTTAAAATGGTGCAATTAAATCCATTTTTGAGGTTCTCTGTGCTTCCACCACTGTTTATCTGGAAATGGTGACCCAGCAACTGGATACGAGCTGGCTGGATGCTTCAGTGATTTAGATACCTGGCTTTGGAGCCCAAGGTTGGGAGTTCGAATCCCCCACCGAAAGAGCCAGCCTGGGTAGCCTTGGGCAAGCGGCGCCATCCCAGGGCTCCCCCTAGAGGAAGAGAAGGGTAAAGCACTTGTGAGTGTTCTCTACCTGAAAAACCCTGAACGAGGGTGGCAGTAATTTGGAATTAACTTCGCAGTGCATGGTTATGATTAATTGGAAACGAATCCATCAGTATGTAATGGATCCGAGGCTTCATCTCTGTCTGTGTCTCGTCTCTTCCCTCTCTCTTTCTCTCCAGCTGGCATTCTCTGGTGTAGTTGGTATTGTTTCCTGGAGACGCCCGTTCACCCCCGTGGTAAGCTCAGAAACATCTTTTTTTAAAAAGAAAGAATTAAAAAAATGCTCCTGATGAGGGCAGGGTGGTGCTAACCAAGATCCACACTTTTATGGGCATCATAGCTCATTCTGCCTCTTGATAGAGCCGGCCCAACCTGTCCCCTTCAACTAGATGTATTACTGTACATGTTTGGGATTCTGCCCCTGCCTGGGCCAGAGTTTGCAAATAATTCATCGGAAATCAGTCCCTTAATTCTGATTGATTGATATCTTAACATTTAAGTTAAGATTCTTATTGCTATTCAAAAATATTCCAAAATAAGCAGGGACAGTCAATCAATTGTATAGCAGACACACATTTTAACCAAAACTCTAAGTATCTATTAAAATATTGGCGCAGGATGTATGCTGTTCCTAATATTGCTATTTTTGTAGCCCTGAGAGTGTGTGATTTCTGAGATCTGCAACGGCTTATAACATTGTATGAAATTTCTTGCTATTGTTCCCAAAACCCCGATGACTATGGGGTACCATGGAAGTGTGTTTCATGCACAAGCGAGATGTTTCAATGGCCAGATACTTTTGTCAGTTTTTCCAACTCTTTATTTTCAACTCTGGAATCAACTCTGACTTTTCGTCGCTCTATCACTACTATGTCTGGTGTGTTATGTTTTTTCGTCGCTCTATCACTACTACGTCTGGTGTGTTATGTTCAAAAGCTGTCTATCCGTCTGGATCCGGAAATCCCACAGGATCATCTTGACTTCCTCATTTTCTGACACCTTCTCTACCTGATGTTCCCACGTTGTTTTTTGGAGGCTGGCAAGTTATATATTTTTTTTGCAACATGACCAGTGCAGTAATTTTGTCTCTCTACCATGTCTAGTTTTGTAATCTGTTTGTGCAGATGGTTAATATTAATCACTAAATATAAACTGAACAAAAATTGAGGTGATGCCACGAAGTTATTTGCATTACCTTTAAAGACAAATGCCGCATTTTTCCATGTATAAGACTATACTTTTGTCTAAAATCTTTAGACTAAAAATTGGGAGACATCTTATACACGGAAGTAAGCTGAGGAAAGAACAAAAACAAGTGGAGGGGAAAGCAGGGATCAAAGCGATCCTGCAGCGCTTTGATCCTTTTCCCCCTACACTTGCTAAGTCCCACTTAGGTTTCTTAATTTTTGGGTTAGAAAAGTGGGGGCGTCTTATACATGGGGGCATCTTATACACGGAAAATGCGGTACATTTGGAACCTGTTTCATTGTACCCACTGAACCACGAGCCCCACGGCCCGTGAGAGCTTACGCCCAATTAAATTTAAGTGACTTCTCTATGAATTGTTTGCCTTGATTCACAACTGGCCACTCCTAGGATTTTGGAACCATGTTTTTTATTTGCATGGTGGATTAGCAAGTGAGCAAACACTTCCAGCCACAAATGAAATCTGTATCAAATCTTAACGCAAGCAACCCTTAATCTGCCGTGATTCAGTGCGAGGGCATGAATTTGAACCCCAAACTTCCCAGCCTCTAGTTCTTGTTGCCAAATGCCACCTCCTCTTCCTCTTTTTGACGGATTTGACCATTTTCTTCTCTTTTTCTTTCCTTCTTCCTGCCCAGATCACTTTCTTCACTCTTCTCTCCATCCTCGGGGTTATGCTTAGCTTGGCTGGTTCCATCTTGTCCTGTCAACACGCCCAGAAAGTGAAGGCCTGGGAGATTTGTGAGCGAGCACGCCAGCGAGACCTCCCCCCGGTCATGAAAGAAGAGGGGTGGAGGCGAACCCTGAAGGTGGGCATCGGGGTAGAGTGTGTGTGGGGTGTGTGTGTGTGTGTG